TTCTCTCTGTTTTTTGGATATTGACCTAATTACAAGATTCTTTGATTCTCTTTTTATTTTTATAGTGTCAAAACTAGGATATTCATGATTCTGAATTCATTATTCAAATTTGAATGATTTTTCAGAGAGAGAAACTAAAAGAACACGGCTGATCATGACTAATTTCGACATGATTCAAATTGTCGTTTTGCTTGTGATGATGATCAAGAGAATGATGATTTCGGCGAGATTGAAGACATCGTCACAAAAGGAAAAGGTAATTTAGTTTTATTTATTTATTTTGTAATTTAATTGAATTTGATGATTTTTCATATTGAATTTATAATTTATAATTTGATGATTATTTGTTACTATTTCATTGATTTCTGCATTTTTATTTCATTGAATTCGTAATTATTTTCAGAATGATGATTTATTGCATTGATTTCTGGAATTATTATTTCTGATGTATTTTAATATTTAAAATGTGTAATGTTGAACATGATGTTCTTTATAATCATCACACATGTTAATTTGTTTTATTTTTTTTTACGGGAGCACACTTGTTAATTAAAATATTATTAATGTTCATTAATGTTACATATAATGAACATTACATGAATTATATGTATAATACGGTTTTTTTTTTCATGTACATTTATTTTGACTACAATGTTCATTATGCATATTTCAATGAATTTTGTTTGCACTGTTTTTTGTTTACAATGTTCATTAAATTTGACTATAATGTTCATTTATTTTGACTACAATGTTCATTTATATTTTGGCTAATGATCATTTTGTGGATTTGCTTTTTTATTTACAATAATGTTTATTTAATTTGACTATAATGTTCATTTTTTTTTTAACTTAAAAGCATGGATTTGGTACACACAAAGGATTGTTAAAGACAAAGGAAGATAAAAAGACAATACATCTCTTTGATTTCATGTAATGCAGGACTTTTATACAATATAATCTACAATTTTTTTTTTATAACTACTTTCATTTGTACAATGTGTCAGTTTAAAATAAAAAAAAAAAATTACACAACAAAGGACATATAATATATGTCAACATATATATTTCATAACAAAAGATCATACCATAGATATAAAATAACTAATAATATAAAGAACATACACTTAAATAAAAAGAACATACTTATAGATTATAAAGAGCATAATGTTTTGATATAAAGAACATAATGTTTTCATACAAAAAACAAAACCTAAAATTCTAATATGTCCAGTTGTACATATCAATAAGTTTCCTACTACTTTTGGATGTATTTGGACGCAACGTAACGAACTTCTGCCTCCATCTTGTTCATTTTTGGTAAAGTAAATAAAATGAAATGATTTGTAATTAATGTATGGTAAAAAACTAATTACTACTTATCTATTTCCTTTATTACAAAACTAATGCACAAACGCATATATTATAAGTGAACACTATGTTATTTTATATGCCATGTACATTGAGATATAATTGGATGTAAATTCTCGGATTTTTGAAAAAAACCGCTTGCATTTTATTCCCAAATCCATATGCCCATCGAGTGTATGCACGATGCGGACGGTGCATACGCCTCTACGAACCACACGTTGTTCAATATGTGCATTGGGATTATGGGTTGATGGCTTTAGCCTTTTGAATTTTTTTTATTTATGATGAGTACTCAATAGCAATGATTGATATTTAATTAATAATAAAGTTGGAGTGTTTTATGTTGCCAAATTTAGTAAATTAGTGGTTTTCAAAGTAGTCTTGCGTAATCATATGGCGGAAATTTACACTACAAGAAAAAGTATTTTGGGCGTCAAAAATATTTTTAGAAGGTGACAAAACAAAAAATCGTGGCACTTATAAGAAAAGGCAGCAAAAATTTTGTGTAGCCCAAAGGTCTATCTTGTGCGACGCTTTTGCATTTTCATCGCACAAAAGCAAACATGGGCTACATATTTTTAAGGTGTGGCAACGAATGCCAACGAAAATGTAGCACAAATGTAAGGATATGGGCGACAAATTTATAAAAGCGACGCCATAAAGGCTACAGCTAATTAAAGTGACACCCAAAGCTACCACCTTGTGCAACGATAAGTGCAAAAGAGACGCCCATACTTTGGGCGACGGCGATAGGGCGACACTTTTTGCGTCGAATTATTTTTTATTGCCCTGACTTTGGGCGACACAACTTGTGTCATGGGCCACGATATGTTTTGTGGCCCAAAGTTATATATATGCCCAAGCTCCTCTGTATAGTATTTTATACGTATTATTCTATTTTATTTGTGGAGAGAAAATTGGGGTGTTACAGTTGGTACTACCATTTATAGATTTTGAAATACTTAATTATAATGATTTTAAGGGCCTATTATGGTTCCAACTTGTAGGGTTGACTTTGCTTTACTTTGGTTTGATTTTTTTTTTTATTTATTTTGATTTCGTTTGACATTGAGTTTATTTTGTTAGGCTTCAACTTTATTTTGAATTGTTTTGAAAAGTCTTTCGTTCTGTGTCTTTTATAAAATATCTTAGCCATTATTATGGTGGCAATAATTTCTTTGTTATTTCCTTATTCGTATTTATAAATGGGAAAAATAGGGTCTTTAAAAAGGAAGGAAATTTGTAGGGTGTTACAGGTAGGCTCAAAGTTATTTGTGACTCAACTTTAGTTCCAAACATCAAGTATCCCAAGTTTGTTATTGAAACCGATAGGAAGGTGGAGAAGGTAAAGATAACCAATAATGCCTTAAAAAAATATGTTTCTTTTCTATAGAAGTATATATGATAGGAACTACGGTATGAGAAGAATAGTGAAACATACATAAGCTGATAGTAATTAGTATACCTTCCTAGTTTAAAAGTGTTACAATCAGCGCTTGGAGGAATCCAACACCATCAACTGGCTTCACCCATAAAATTGATCCAAGTATCATAAAATTAGCTAAAAAAAAACCCATAGCAGAGATGTGTGTAAGAATATTCAAGTCATTCAACAACATTGTAGAGAATAGAAGAATTGTGGTGATTATATAAAACTTAATTTATCACTAATTGATGTTCCAAGTGCATGAATTGCTACGCTAGGAAATAAAGTTTGTACATTGTCACCTTGTAGGATTAAAATACCCATGGTTGCCATGTAGACGGTGGCGAATCTAGCATCTTTTATAAGTGGGTTTAAAATATTAAAATTAACGGTTTTTTCAACAAACAACCCTGAGTAATTCGCTTATTCACAATATACCCATGAAATTTTTCAAATACACCATATACCCTTGAGTTTAACAACAACGTCACCAAATGCCCAAAAAACTAACAAACGTTAACTTCGTTAGTCATTATGGCTATTTGTGCCACGTGGCAGCATATGATTGGTTCTCTTTTCAAATTATTTAAATTTTAATATAATTACTAGTATTTAATAATTAGTGAAAAATAAAAAAAAAATAAAAAAACAACCCTTGCTCAGCCACCCTCCTTGCCCCCACCACCGTCGCCTCCCTAAACCCCCACGTCGGTGCAAATCCCCCTTGAACCCCTACGCCGACGCTAGCCCGACCCCAACCCCCTAAAATCACCCTTCCCTTCGCCCAAACCACCATCCTTGCAACCTAAAACCCCTCCCTCCCTCGAAAAAACCTCCTTGCCCACCGCCGACGCCCCAAACCCCCCAGTACCGCCGAACCCAATTCGCCCATCCCCTTACCATTTCCGCCCCTTTCCACCCCTTTCCACCACCTCAAAACGCTAAATCCCCAAAATCAAAATCTAAGGTTTTGATTTGGGGTTTTAGGGTTTCGAATTTTCGGGATAGTGAGACCGTGGGGTGTTAGCGTAGCGGTCGCTGGCGTGGGGGAGCCTTGCGCCGGCGAGAAAGACTGTGGCCGGCGCCAGAGTGGGGGAGTAGGCTGGGCGGGCCTGGTGGTGGTGGGGAGGGGAAGGTGGCTGGGGTTTGGGTTGGTTTTTGTTTTTTTTAATTTTTTTAATAATAAATTAAATAGATTTAAAAACAAACAACCAATCAGCAGATTCCACGTGGCACAATTAACCATTAATGACTAACGAAGTTGACATTCGTTAGTCATTTGGGTATTTGGGGCATTTTTTGTTAAAATCGGGGGTATATAGTGTATTTGGAAAATTTCATTAGTATATTGTGAATAAGAGAATAATTTAGGGGTATTTGGTGAAAATTTCGTAAAAATAGCTTTGAATCAAATAAAATAAATATATATTAATATAAATCATTAAAAAAACACTTAAATGTATTTTCCTAATGAGGTAAAAAAAAAATTTCAGTGAGAAACAACAATGTTTTTCGCTATGAAAATAGTTAGGAAAAATTGGCAAAAATAATCCCAACTTTTGCCCGTTCGCTCAAAATAATCCCAACTTTTGCCCGTTCGCTCAAAAAAATATATATAATCAACCACAGCCACCGACCACCTTACCACCACCCTCGCCCCGGCCTGTCGCACACAGATCTGCCTTTGGAGCCCCCATCCACCGCCGCTGACCCTCCCTCACGCCGGCGTCGGCATTTCTCTTCTCTTTCCCCCTAAATCACCTAACCTCCATCGCAACCTGAATCATCGATTGACGATGCTAATTCTATCTCATTCTTCCCTTCTCTTTCACACACACTCTTCTTCCTCCCTTTTCTCTCTCCTTTGTAAAGCCATGTCATGCCTAACCTCAATCACAAACTCTCTCAATTCAAGCTCGACGACTACGAAGAAATATGATGCAACCACCACAAATTGTAGCACCCCCAAATTTGAACCCTTTTCATAATAATCAAAACCATATTTTTATTCAGAATTGTCGTTCAAACTCAGGGAGTGTTACTTAGAGGCATAATAAAGTTCGATAAAAACAAACAATAAACTATCAACTTTAGCTAGGTGGTCTAAAACAAGCACAACTTATTACAACCCAAACTTAACATAAAACTTAAACCAAAAGTATATTAAGTGGTGACAAAGTTAATAGACTTATTCTACGATACATCATCACTCAAACCAACCCGTCTTACCAACCTGCAAAAATAAATAGGAAACACAATACATATTACGACTCCATCCCGTAAAATACATATTTTTGTTTTGAAAACATATTTAACAATTAAGTTAAAATAATATGAAACAATAAAATCAACTTTAGATCTTACACACACTAACAAACAAAATACTCTATATAGATTACATATTTAAGCTATATTTAAGAGAGGGAAAGAGAACACTAGTAGGCCGGGACTAATTCCAAAGTAACCACCTACTTGTGAAGGGTTGCGCATCACCCTATTTTGGCCAAGTATATGTTCATAGTATATATGTCCCTAGTGTGCACACCTCTCACTAATCTAATGGGTAACCGCAATTTACCGCACACCAATAGTATTAGGAGGAAGACTTATGAAAGATAGTTGATCGAAAATGTAGTACCAAACCTACTAGAAGCCTATTAGGTATCCACATATGTGCACCAATTGAACAACATCTAGTAGGGCAACCTGTTCTTCACCCTTTTGGGGTTTCATTTCCCTTCTTAAATTATTATATTTTAAATTCCTTGCAGACAAACATTCAATCATATAATTAACATATGAACCAAAATTATACTTATTAAAAATTATAGTACCCAAGTCATTTGTTCAAAGTAAACAAGTATCATAGTATGTTGTATAAAATCATCGTATCAAAAAAACACATTCGAAACCAACATTCCCAAAGTATCAATACCAAAAATAATTCAACATTATCAGATACGAAGATACTAGTAGTAATAAGAGTATTACCATTCACTTAAATGAAAATCGTTTATAAATTTTATAGAATGAATTACATACTTATAATTTATTCATATAACACGTCTACCATATAGTCACATCAAAATGGTTTCCTAACGAGATTCTAAGTTCTTGATGGACATCGAAAATTACCTTGATAGCACGTAATTTCATCCTACTAATTTCCCGAGCGATCGTCTATGTAGCCTCAGTCTATCAACAAGCGGATAAAAAACCCTAAGTTAGTATAACAAATATATTAACTCTTGTACGTACACAACTATGCAAAGTTAGGTAAGGAAAAAAAGGATAATAATAATAATAATAATAATAATAATAATAATAATAATAAAATTATTAGAAAAAAAAAAGAAGGGAATTAAGTGCTACGTACAAGTACCCAAAACCAAAAAAAAAAAAAAAAAAAAAAAAAAAAAAAAAAAAAAAAAAAAAGAGGAGCTTTTATACTACTCCATTTTCACGAAAGAGCAGAGCAGAGCAATCCATTTTCACGAAAGAACAAGTACTACTACGGAGAAAAAATTAGAATAAGCAATAACAATAGCTTCAACAATGGATATGACAGTCTCGTCGTCAAGGTTACAGCTCCAATGGCGACCTTCCTCAATATTTTTTTTTTTTTTTTTTTTTTTTTTTACTCTAACGTAAGAAGGATTGAAAGATTCTTACCAAGAATACGAGATCAGAACCAAGAATTTGGTGAGATTGAAGGTTTGATGTTGATGATAGAATAGTGGTATATATATATATATATATATATATATATATATATATATATATGTATATATATATATATATGTATATATATATATATATTTATCAACTTAGAGTGGGTTAGTGAAGAGTTTAGAGTAAATGCTTGCTGATTTGGTGCATTGTAACTGATGAATGTAAAGAGTCATTCATTCATATGGGTGATTGAATTGTTAACCATCACTTGATGAGGGGAATAGCAAAGGTTAAAGATGATGACCGTACAAGTTTTTTTTTTCCCTAATTAAGCCTTTTTTTTTTAGGACTTAAAAACATGTAAGAGATAATAGTAATAAAATCAGCTTAAGAAATAACTTCAAAGGCAAAGATAATAGTACTACTGATAGCACTTATTATATCATATGAAATATCTTGTTTTGAACATAAAATAATAGATTAATATAAAATAATAGTTTCAATTCCTTTTTAAAATAATAATATGTATAAAAAATACGGGGTATTACATGTACTCCCCCTTAAAACAAAGTTTGTACTCGAACTTTACTGTTAGTTAATAACTCTAACTAGAACACATAACAATAACGTGGGTAAAATGTTAGTATAAAAGAAGTAGGATGTTAGTGTCGCATACTACCCTCCCTAAAAGAAAAAGTTTCGCCCACATACCTCATGAAATAGTTCAGGGTAACGCTTTCTCATGTCATCCTCGGCTTCCCAAGTTGCCTCCTCGGAAACTTGATTTGACCATAGGACCTTAACTAGCTTGACCACTTTGTTACGAGTACCTCTTGTCTTGGTATCAAGGATTTTAATAGGACGCTCTTCAAAAGTTAAGCTCTCATCTAACTCTATTGATTCAGGTTGAATAACATGGGTAGGGTGATGGACATATTTTCGGATTTGGGATACATGAAAAACGTTATGGACATTTGATAACTCCATAGGTAACGCTAATCGATAGGCCACCTCTCCAACTCGTTCTATTACCTCATACGGGCCAATATACCTCGGACTTAACTTTCCTTTCCTCCCAAATCGCATGACCCCCTTTGTTGGTAAGACTTTGAGTAACACCTTTACTCGAACTTCAAATTCTAACACCTTTCTACTCTGGTATGCATATGATTTATGTCGGTTTTGAGCTGCTTTCAAGTTTTCTTGAATGAGTCGCACTTGTTTCATAGCGTCTTCAATCATTTCCGACCCCAAGGTCAATGACTCGCTTATGTCACTCCAGCACAGAGGGCTCCAACATTTTCTCCCATATAAAGCTTCATAAGGTGCCATCCCTATACTAGCATGGTAGATGTTGTTATATGAGAATTATACCATAGGAATATGCTTATCCCACGATCCACCAAAATCCATCACATACACATGCCCTCAACATATCTTCGAGAGTCTGAATTGTTCTATCTGTTTGACCGTCAGTGGCAGGATGAAATGTAGTACTGAACTTGAGTAAAGTATCAAATGCCTCTTGAATATTCGCCCAAAATTAGAAAAAAAATATTAAATTTCTATCAGATACAATATCTTTAGGAACTCCATGCAGACAAACTATTTCCCTCACATAAGCATATGCTAATTGTTGCAAACTCCAAGCATCCTTCATGGCTATAAATCTAGTTGTCTTAGTCAAACGATCAACTATAACCCATATGGCGTTCTTTGATGTCTTGGTCAGTGGTAATCCTATCACAAAATCCATGGAAATTGACTCCCATTTCCATCCAGGTACCTCCAAGGATTGCAATTTCCCTCCTTGTCTCATATGCTAAATCTTTACCTTCTGACATGTCAAACACCTTGCAACAAAATCTGCTACTTCTCGCTTCATATTAGGACACCAAAAGTACTGCTTAAGATCCTTATAAAGCTTATCTCCTCCTATTTGTACAGAATACGATGTGTTGGGAGCCTCTTCTAAAATCTTTCTTTTTAGATCTTTGTCCTTCGGGATACACAACCTTCCTTTGTACATCATGTTGGGTTTCGTGATGTCCAACACCACGCGGAAGGAAACCCGCTTAAAATCAGCACACAAGTTAAAGTAACTAAGCATGTATTCAAACCATAATCACGTGATTAACAAGAAGAGAGAGAAAGATACATTACCCTTGTAGCGTGCTTCGCTCTAACTTAGAGCTCGGACTTGAAATCGTAGAGTCCCGCAAATGCGCGAACCTCCGACGGCTAACACCCTTGCTACCGAACCGAGCCGGCCCCTGCCCCGAAGCTTAGTCGGGGCTAGGCCAAAAATTACTTAGAGTATTAGAACAAAGGTTTTCTCCCTATAGAGATCCCTTCAAGTTCACCAACTCAAGTTCTCTTTCCCAATGCCAAATGATTGGTATTTATAGGAAAGGAGCCCTTGAAATCCTATCTCCCATCAATGTGGGAGAGTTGGGGTAAAATAGCAAAATAGAATTTAATTTGATTCTAAATTAAATTAAATAGTCAAATGAATTACCAAACGACAAGTGGCATTAGAAGAGCAAGGGGTTAGGTGAAGACCATAAAGGGAGGACCACCTTCCCCTTGCTCCCCAAGAAACCCTCAAAATCACTCCACACACACGCCCACACGCTTCACACCAGCTGGCGTGGCCTGCCTTAGGCGCCAAGGCTGCCTCGCTGGCGACCTGGACCCTAGGCTGGGCCTACGAGCTGGTCGCGTTCGCATGCAGCCCAGCAAGCATGCCACGCATGCATGCGCGCTGCTGCTGGGCGTGATGGACGCACCTACCGTAAGCACAGCTTGCGACCTGCTGCTGTGTTGCTATCACTAGACTTGCCCAACTAGCAGCTGCTATCTCGCGCAAGGCCCAGCTAGCATTTGCGTGCTGCTAGCCTTGCTTGCGACGGTGTGGGGCTGGTGCTAGCATGCACACCAGCAATGCTGGCCTTGTTGCGCCAGCTAGCTAGCGATGCTAGCATGCTACCTAACTCGGCATTCCGCAGCCTTGCTAACCATATTGCTCTAGCCCTCGGTTGGCTCAGCCATTCCGAGGCTAGGGCTATATGTTATGACTTGTTGTTTGGATGATTTTTCCGTCTCGTCTTTTACTAAATTCGACTCGACTTACGACGCTCGGTCTCGATGCTCTAAGCTCATAATCCGACGTCTTTGTTCGTAAATACTCTATTGAATCATTTAATCCTTTGGATTAATTCGTTGTTTCGGTTCAGTTACACGATTGGGTGTGACCCAAAGAGTTCAGTCAAGATTAAGCTGTAATGTTAATTATGCATTAATATTACTAATTGGAAGCGGCCTCGCCTCCAACTAGGCATTCCGATCACTTGACCTCACTGAATGATTAGCTTTCTATTTAATTCCGAACCCTCTATCGGAATAATACATTTGTTTGAAGGACACCATTCCTTTTCCCTCATGCTCCTTCGTTCGAATACATCAGAATATCATCAATGAATACAACAACGAAACTATCCAAATACGGCTGAATTGTTCTATTCATAAGGTCTATGAATGTCGCTGGCTTATTAGTGAGTCTGAAGGGCATGAATGTGAACTCATAATGGCCATATCTTGCACGAAAAGTTGTCTTTGGTATGTCTTCCTCCACGATCCTCAACTGATGATATCTTGATCGTAAGTCAATCTTTGAGAAGATACCAGCACCTTTAAGCTGATTAAATAAATCCTCAATTCTCGGCAAGGGCTACTTGTTCTTTATCGTGACATTGTTCAATTCACGATGATCAATGTATAACCTTAAGGAACCGTCCTTCTTTCTTACAAAAAGTACTGGTGCTCCCCATGGTGAGACACTCGGTCGTATACAACCTTTTTCAAGAAATTATTCCAATTGTACCTTAAGATCTTTCATCTCCGCAGGTGCCATTCGATATGGTGCCTTGGAAATTGGTCTAGTTCCAAGTACCAAGTCTATCTTGAAGTCCATCTCCCTAACTGGTGGCATCCCGGGGATTTCGTCTGGAAATACATCTTGGAAATCTCTTACCACTGGAATCTGTTCTATCGTCTTCTCCTCTATACTCACATCTTTAACATGACACAGATAAATAGGGTAGCCTTTTCTAACATAAGAGTGGAAAGTCATGGCAGAGATAATACTGATTCCAGGTTTGGAAATGACTCCTTGGTATAAGATCCTATTCCCTCTTGGCCCCCTAAGTGATATCTTTTGGTTATGACACTCAATCTTAGCCTTGTACTTGCTAAGACAATCCATCCCCATAATGACATCAAAGTCAGACAAGTCAAACTGGATAAGCTGTTGGGTTTCGTGATGTCCAACATCGCGCGGAAGGAAACCCGCCCAAAATCCACACACAAATTAAATTAACTAAGCATGTATTAAAACCATAATCACATAATTAACAAGAGGAGGGAGAAAGAATCATTACCCTTGATGCGTGCTTCGCTCTCACTTAGAGCTCGGACTTGAAAGCGTAGATTCCCGCAAATGCGCGAACCTCCAACGGCTAACACCCTCGCTCCCCGAACCGACCCGGCCCTTACCTTAAAGCTTAGTCGGGGCTAGGCCAAAATTAACTTAGAGTATTAGAATGAAGGTTTTCCCTTCTTGGAGATCCCTTCAAGTTCACAACTCAAGTGCTCTTTCCCAATGCCAAATGAAGTATTTATAGGGAAAGGAACCCTTAAAATCTCATCTCCCATCAATGTGGGAAAGTTGGAAAAAATGCAAAATGGAATTTAATTTAATCTTAAATTAAATTAAATATCCAAATGAATCACCAAACGACAAGTGGCAAGGGGAGAGCAAGTGGTTAGGTGAGAACCACAAGGGGGGACCATCCTCCCCTTGCTCCCCAAGAAAACTCTTACAACCAGTCCTCACACACACAATGCACCATGCACGGCGCACCAGCTAGGCGTGGCCTGCCTTGGGCACCAAGGCTACCTCTAATGAGAGGCGAATAGCTAGGTCGTTGGACTAACTACCCTCTACTAAACAATATTTATATACCTAAACCTACACTAGACAAGTCTAATGGTAAGTAAAGGGTCGATCCGCAGAGACGGCTAAATTATCATCACACTACCACCAACTAAGCTAGGTCAAGAAGAAATGGGGAGTAGATTAAAATAAAGAGGAAAACTAACTAACTAAGGAAAGAGAAACTAAGAGGTAAAATCACTAGGGAAGGGGAATCAAGGCAATCAATGTGACAAGCACAAGCATAGCAATGAACATGGACATTCTCAATAACTTGCAAGGGGCAAATCTTAATCATCTAGGTCTCTCCCGAGCACGCTACACAATCAAGCACCCAATCCCGGCCGAGGCTCGTGATCAACTCAAGGGGTTCCAAAGAGAAAGCAAGAATTAAACACACCTCAATGAGCACAACCAAATCACCAAGAAATATACATACAAACCAATATACAAGCACTAATCAAACGCAAGCAAACAATCATCATTAATCTAATTGGTCAAGTCGATAATATGGAGAATTGCCTAACAACCTAGGTCACTCCCGCACACACTAGGCCATTAAACTCTCAACCCCGCCTATGAGGTCGTGGTAAACTAAACAATGAAATACTTCTATCAAGCTAGCTCACTCCCGCACAACTAACACAATAGCAATTAAATCATGACATCAATTGGCTAGAAAGACACCAAGCATTAAGACCTTCATTTTTAGTTCAATACATCAACAATTCCAATTAGCTCATCAATAAAGTGTTCATCTTGCTCATTAATCCCCAATTAAACCCTAACCCTAGCTAAGAAAATTACTCTAACATAACTAAACTAGCAAAATCAAAGACATTAACACAAACTAAACTAACAAGAACAACAAACATTAACCAACAAAGAGGAACAAGAGAGAGACTAAGAATAAAACCCAACAAGAAGAACAAATTATCAAAACTACTATACTAATCAAGCAATAACTAAACAAAGCAAGAATTAAAGAAAGCAATAAATGAGATAGAGTTTAGAATGCTCATTAGATTTATGAAGAGTAATCCAAAACAATGTCACTTTGCATCTTCATCTTCTTCAATCCTCCATTAAAGCTTCCAACTTTCTCTCTCTAAACTACCCTAAATCTACTCTAAACTACATTATAATGGATTAAAGCAAGGATTAAAACTAAATCTATAACAAATCTAAGCTAATCTAAGAGTTGAAGATGATGGAGAAGTTAGGGTTCTTCACCCCAAAGAGGAGAGAGGAAGAAGACCCCCAAAAAAGTCCCCAAATCAGCCTTTAAATAGGGAAATAAATCGGCTGAGCTGACAGCGTGCGCGCCCGCGCAAAAGGA